TCTCCCTAAGCCCCCACAGTGTTCTCCCTAAGCCGCGACAGTGTCCTCCCTAAGCCCCCACAGTGTTCTCCCTAAGCCCCCACAGTGTTCTCCCTAAGCCCTCACAGTGTCCTCCCTAAGCCGCCACAGTGTCCTCCATAAGCCCCCACAGTGTCCTCCCTAAGCCCCCACAGTATCCTCCCTAAGCCCCCACAGTGTTCTCCCTAAGCCCTCACAGTGTCCTCCCTAAGCCGCCACAGTGTTCTCCCTAAGCCCCCACAGTGTCCTCCCTAAGCCCCCACAGTGTCCTCCCTAAGCCCCCACAGTGTTCTCCCTAAGCCCCCACAGTGTCCTTCCTAAGCCCCCCACAGTGTCCTTCCTAAGCCCCCACAGTGTCCTTCCTAATCCCCCACAGTGTTCTCCCTAAGCCCCCACAGTGTCCTTCCTAAGCCCCCACAGTGTCCTTCCTAAGCCCCCACAGTGTCCTTCCTAAGCCCCCACAGTATCCTCCCTAAGCCCTCACAGTGTCCTCCCTAAGCCCCCACAGTGTTCTCCCTAAGCCCCCACAGTGTCCTTCCTAAGCCCCCACAGTGTCCTTCCTAAGCCCTCACAGTGTCCTTCCTAAGCCCCCACAGTGTCCTTCCTAAGCCCCCACAGTGTCCTTCCTAAGCCCCCACAGTGTCCTCCCTAAGCCGCCACAGTGTTCTTCCTAAGCCCCCACAGTGTCCTTCCTAAGCCCCCACAGTGTCCTTCCTAAGCCCCCACAGTGTCCTCCCTAAGCCCCCACAGTGTTCTTCCTAAGCCCCCACAGTGTTCTCCCTAAGCCCCCACAGTGTCCTTCCTAAGCCCCCACAGTGTCCTCCCTAAGCCCCCACAGTGTCCTCCCTAAGCCGCCACAGTGTCCTCCATAAGCCCCCACAGTGTCCTCCCTAAGCCCCCACAGTATCCTCCCTAAGCCCCCACAGTGTTCTCCCTAAGCCCTCACAGTGTCCTCCCTAAGCCGCCACAGTGTTCTCCCTAAGCCCCCACAGTGTCCTCCCTAAGCCCCCCCAGTGTCCTCCCTAAGCCCCCACAGTGTTCTCCCTAAGCCGCCACAGTGTCCTTCCTAAGCCGCCACAGTGTCCTCCCTAAGCCGCCACAGTGTCCTTCCTAAGCCCCCACAGTGTTCTCCCTAAGCCGCCACAGTGTCCTCCCTAAGCCGCCACAGTATCCTCCCTAAGCCCCCACAGTGTTCTCCCTAAGCCCCCACAGTGTCCTCCCTAAGCCCCCACAGTGTTCTCCCTAAGCCCCCACAGTATCCTCCCTAAGCCGCCACAGTGTCCTCCCTAAGCCCCCACAGTGTTCTCCCTAAGCCCCCACAGTGTCCTCCCTAAGCCCCCACAGTGTTCTCCCTAAGCCGCCACAGTATCCTCCCTAAGCCGCCACAGTGTCCTCCCTAAGCCCCCACAGTGTTCTCCCTAAGCCCCCACAGTGTTCTCCCTAAGCCCCCACAGTGTCCTTCCTAAGCCCCCACAGTATCCTCCCTAAGCCCCCACAGTGTCCTTCCTAAGCCCCCACAGTGTCCTCCCTAAGCCCCCACAGTGTCCTCCCTAAGCCCCCACAGTGTTCTCCCTAAGCCCCCACAGTGTCCTCCCTAAGCCCCCACAGTGTCCTCCCTAAGCCCCCACAGTGTTCTCCCTAAGCCGCCACAGTATCCTCCCTAAGCCGCCACAGTGTCCTCCCTAAGCCCCCACAGTGTTCTCCCTAAGCCCCCACAGTGTTCTCCCTAAGCTCCCACAGTGTCCTTCCTAAGCCCCCACAGTGTCCTCCCTAAGCCCCCACAGTGTTCTCCCTAAGCCCCCACAGTATCCTCCCTAAGCCGCCACAGTGTCCTCCCTAAGCCCCCACAGTGTTCTCCCTAAGCCGCCACAGTGTCCTCCCTAAGCCCCCACAGTGTCCTCCCTAAGCCGCCACAGTGTTCTCCCTAAGCCCCCACAGTGTTCTCCCTAAGCCCCCACAGTGTCCTTCCTAAGCCCCCACAGTATCCTCCCTAAGCCCCCACAGAGTCCTCCCTAAGCCCCCACAGTGTTCTCCCTTGTAACACGGGTCGGGGTTCCTCTCTCTACTTCTCTTTCTTCTTTACCCTCTACCCGTATTCTTACTTTTTATTCTCTACCAAGGGACTCCAAAACTTTTACCAAAGCCAACTCCACGCCACGTGGTCCTAAGACGATTGACCGACTTAGGATTCTACACCCAGTATGACGTGACCTAAGCTCTGAGCAAAACCCTAGAGTCGCCTCTACGCTGCCACCACCAGACTAGTAACACAAGAGCAATGATCGAGGTCTGGATCGATCACGCTAATTAATCAACCTAGGGGCTTGATCCCCACTATATACGATGACCTTGAGTGTGGAATAAATTACACGGTAATGATAATTCCGATTCGATGTTAGAATCGGCGCCCAATCCAACTTTACCTCGTGTGGACCACGTGACCAGGACAAGTTTACACATAACCAAATGGAAACAATGAAATGCAAAATATTAACAAATTTAATTTATTAAAAGAAAAACTAAAACAAAATCTAAATATGTTCACTCCCTGTCACTTTAACACTCCCTACTTGACCTGAATGGCAAATGAGACTATTTCTATACATAACAATAGCAACTATACCTTGGGCGACCAGTTCTAGATGTTGGGCTGGTCTTGGGGAGAGGTAAGATGTTTGACCTCTCCCAGCTGCTCCCGTATTCACACTGACTTGTCCTCGTCTGGCCTAGCCCAGACTAGAACATTGTATCCTTCCGCCTAGTCAAAGTTTTACCAAGTTACTAGCCAGGTTTAAGTTATAACAATTAATCCTCTGTTGTACTTAATTGATCCAGACTGGTTGAATTATTTTACTGAATTAAATTACAAACATCTAACGACAGAGCTGTTCCCGATCACAAAAATGGTTATTAAAACTTTGAGAAATAGTAGACCTGTCAACCCCTGATGACCTATGACCGCCGGTCACTCCGCTTTACAAGTTAGATCTGATTCGTGACGTCACTGATGGTGACTTAAACTCAATAATTAGAATACTCTTGATATTGTACCCAGTACTATTATACAATACAATTTTAATGCAAAATGAATAAAGGCTAATTTTCTCTAAATTACTGAATACTATAGGATGGTTCATTATACGCAGCTATGAACAAAGCGTCGGTTATTTCCACCGCGAATTCCCCTGGGGGTCAGGTCACCATGCGGGCTCAGCTTCCCATTCTCTTTTGTCGATAAACCACTCTGGATAATTCTTACAACAGCCTAGTCTGTTACACGTCCTCCCTAAGCCACGACAGTGTCCTCCCTAAGCCACCACAGTGTTCTCCCTAAGCCGCCACAGTGTCCTTCCTAAGCCGCCACAGTGTCCTTCCTAAGCCGCCACAGTGTCCTCCCTAAGCCGCCACAGTGTTCTCCCTAAGCCCCCACAGTGTTCTCCCTAAGCCCCCACAGTGTTCTCCCTAAGCCGCGACAGTGTCCTCCCTAAGCCACCACAGTGTCCTCCCTAAGCCGCCACAGTGTTCTCCCTAAGCCGCCACAGTGTCCTTCCTAAGCCGCCACAGTGTCCTCCTTCCTAAGCCACCCCAGTGTCCTCCTTCCTAAGCCACCCCAGTGTCCTCCTTCCTAAGCCACCCCAGTGTCCTCCTTCCTAAGCCACCCCAGTGACCTCCTTCCTAAGCCACCCCAGTGTCCTCCTTCCTAAGCCACCCCAGTGACCTCCTTCCTAAGCCACCCAATACCATTCCCCCACCCCCTACTGTCACTAAGGATTGGTCATTTATATCACTTGCGGGTCGGCCGTGCGTGCTGGGCGGCAAACTCTAAACCCAGCCAGCCCGCGAGCCCGGGAGCCCGGGAGCTCGGGAGCTCGGGAGCCCGGGAGCCCGGGAGCTCGGGAGCCCGCGAGCCCGGGAGCCCGGGAGCTCGGGAGCCCGCGAGCCCGGGAGCCCGGGAGCCCGGGAGCCCGGGAGCCCGCGAGCCCGGGAGCCCGGGAGCCCGCGAGCCCGGGAGCCCGCGAGCCCGGGAGCCCGGGAGCCCGGGAGCTCGGGAGCTCGGGAGCCCGGGAGCCCGGGAGCCCGGGAGCTCGGGAGCTCGGGAGCCCGGGAGCCCGGGAGCCAGCCTTTCCACTATCCGGGGTGCCGGCCTCACTACTGGCAGCATGACAAAATTATTTCGCTTCGTGGTGCATGTGAATAAGTATCACTATATATATATATATATATATATATATATATATATATATATATATATATATATATATATATATATATGACTTGATAATTATATATATATATAAAACCTGCATATACCATGTTTATTATTTTCTTGTTTAGTGTTTCAATCCCTCTAACTAGTGTTCTTACATCTTGGCTTAATTGCAAGAGGATTTCTCCAAATGTTATATTTGTTTGAGGTTAACTAAAAGAATAAATATTAACTGTAAAATGTATTACACTTATTATAAATTTACACAACGTTTCGAACCTACAAGATTCATTCTGAAGTGAGGAGACAAGTTTTGTTGTTGTTTAGATTCAGACACTGGAACATAATTTCCATGTAGCACGGGCTATGGTGATCCCGTAAGTGGAGGTTCTTTGGAGCCATTATCAGTATCAATAGCTGGTGCTGGAGATGTGGGGAAGGGCTCCGTGGATGCGCCAATCCAATCAAAGACCATAGGGCTGAATTCACGGTACACACACATCGCTCACAGCTGAGTGCCACAGGAGTCAACAGGGCTGTCGGCGGGCTGGCCGGTCTAGGGGGATATGTCCGGGTGTTACAAGAGCATTGCTTTCCTAATTCCAATTTCCTGATGTTGGTAGTCTGGTCAAATTTCCTGCTTCAAGATGTCGTAGTCGCAGAGGTGGTCGAGGTGTTCTTAAGGGACGACCATGTAAAGGATTCGTCCTGCTTCCCTACACTTGTATTCCCAGTAGTCGTTGTGGATTATGGAGTTATGCTGTCTATCCGATAGTGCGCGGCCACGTCGGATATACCCGAAGGTATATCCGACATGCTGTATATCAGCATGCTGGTATGGCAGCCTGTCAGTCGGGTTGGTGCCGGTGTGGGATCTGGAAGAAGAGATGGTGCCCAAATGGCCGCAGAAAAGGCGGGAGAGCCGGTGACATCGACTGAAGCATAGAGGTCAATAGTCATCGTGGTCGGCTTCCCTGGTTTCGTCTTCAGAGTCGGCCTCGTCGTCCTGGTCAGCTGTCCTGGGGACTGCTGCCGTTCTTGTCAGTGGGACAAGTTCTGGGACTGCAGGGTCGCTATGGCTGGACGGTGAGGGTTCCCTGGGGGTCGGCTCAAGGGGTCCCTGGGGCGGAGGGTCCGGTAGCAATTGTGAAAGCTGGAAGAAGGTAATCGGGTACAGCAGCTGTGGGAAGTCCATTCGCGGCGAGCAGCCTGTTAATGACGTGGATGAAGCGGGTAATGTCGTTACCCGGCGTTGTCGGCCAGGTGAGGAGGACGGCCAAAAGGGTAATCTTGGAGGCTGCAGGCTGGCCAGTGATGGTGTGGTCAGTGATGGTGCAGACAGTGATGGTGGTGTGGCCAGTGATGGTGTGGCCAGTGATGGTGTGGTCAGTGATGGTGCGGGCAGTGATGGTGGTGTGGCCAGTGATGGTGTGGCCAGTGATGGTGTGGTCAGCTGGGTGTGGTGAGGGAATCACATGTGTGTTCCCGGTCTTACCCGGGAATTCTGACGAGTGGGGGTTTACTCCTCGAGATATAGTGGTGGAGGAAGTGGTAGCCGTCAGGAGAGTCAGGGGAGACCGCAGTGTATGGGCCATTGCAGAGCAGACAGCGTCGGTAGACGGATGTGTAGTCCATTTAGTGGTGCTCCTAAGTGCAGAGGCTGCATCTCTGCGCTTGCTCGGTTCACTTCCTGGTGTAGTGGGAGTACAGCATGGTAGCACTTGAAGCACTGGTGGTGCTCCGTGAAGCGTTCCATGGTCCATGGTCCATGGTGGGTAGTATGGTGATTCCTGAGCACTTAAGTCCGTAGACTCCGACAGGTCGCTGCGATGGCCGTGGTGAAGGTCACCTTCAGTGTTGGTCTGCGGTTGACTTCGGCGTTAGAGATGGTCTTCACCGCTGTTAGCGCCGTGTTCTGGTCGTTGATGCTGGCAAGGATGTTGTCCTCGTCGCGGTCGGTGATCCATATGCTGATGTTCCTGGCGAACACGGTCCTGTCCGCTAGGTAGCGTCGTGGTGGTGTGAGGGTGAGGCCGGCGTCTTGTAGGGTGGTCGTGGCGGAGATTTGTTCTAAAATATCTACGGTGACGAGAACGAGGTTCTCCCTGCGGCAAACCTTGACCCTATGCAACATAGTGCAGGTGGTCCCTGGACCACAGGCGCTTGGGTCGGCAGCAAAGGTCCTGCACCACCCTTTATACAGGTTGTAGTGGTTTTCGATATGTGAGGTCTGGCGTCAAGCTACAAGAGATGGAATCAGAATGAGGAGACAGTTGTTGTTGTTCAGCTACTCAGAACACAAAGTTCCAAGTAGCACGGGCTATGGTGAGCTCGCAGTGGACTAACCTGGTACAGGAGCGGGGCTGTAACAATTGTTGTTGTTGTTTTAGATTTAGCTACTGAGAACGAAACGCCCATGTAGCACAGGCTATAGTGAGCCCGTAATTGAGTTGGGTTATTCGCAATAAGCCTGTTATTGTGATATTTAGGTCAAAGTTTTAAACTGAGGTGGGGTTTCCTCTTTTTACCCTGTTTCATTTCCGCTTCTGTTTTAGCACACTGGTTTGAGACTTGTTTTAATAACATAATCTTGGTGGCGGATATAGATGCACAGTGTTCACTACTGTGTCCCATTCTTCAACTGCTTTTCCAACTATTGAAGTCGCTGAGGATTTTGCATCTAATGCAGCTGCTCTTGTTGGATTAATGTTGAATTTGATGCGCAGGGCTTCAGTCGCTTCACATTCCAGTAAGTAGTGTAATAGTGACGACTCTGCAGCTGTTCCACAGATATGACACTATTTATGTAACGGACTGGAGAGTTAGTAGTGGAGACTACCCACACTCCCAGCAACACCACCAGGCCTGGAGAGTCAGTAGTGGAGACTACCCACACTCCCAGCAACACCACCAGGCCTGGAGAGTCAGTAGCGGAGACTACCCACACTCCCAGCAACACCACCAGGCCTGGAGAGTCAGTAGCGGAGACTACCCACACTCCCAGCAACACCACCAGGCCTGGAGAGTCAGTAGTGGAGACTACCCACACTCCCAGCAACACCACCAGGCCTGGAGAGTCAGTAGTGGAGACTACCCACACTCCCAGCAACACCACCAGGCCAGGAGAGTCAGTAGCGGAGACTACCCACACTCCCAGCAACACCACCAGGCCTGGAGAGTCAGTAGCGGAGACTACCCACACTCCCAGCAACACCACCAGGCCTGGAGAGTCAGTAGTGGAGACTACCCACACTCCCAGCAACACCACCAGGCCAGGAGAGTCAGTAGCGGAGACTACCCACACTCCCAGCAACACCACCAGGCCTCGAGAGTCAGTAGCGGAGACTACCCACACTCCCAGCAGCACCACCAGGCCAGGAGAGTCAGTAGTGGAGACTACCCACACTCCCAGCAGCACCACCAGGCCAGGAGAGTCAGTAGCGGAGACTACCCACACTCCCAGCAACACCACCAGGCCTGGAGAGTCAGTAGCGGAGACTACCCACACTCCCAGCAACACCACCAGGCCTGGAGAGTCAGTAGTGGAGACTACCCACACTCCCAGCAACAACACCAGGCCTGGAGAGTCAGTAGCGGAGACTACCCACACTCCCAGCACCAACACCAGGCCAGGAGAGTCAGTAGCGGAGACTACCCACACTCCCAGCAACACCACCAGGCCAGGAGAGTCAGTAGTGGAGACTACCCACACTCCCAGCAACACCACCAGGCCTGGAGAGTCAGTAGCGGAGACTACCCACACTCCCAGCAACACCACCAGGCCTGGAGAGTCAGTGTAGCCAACGGGCACAAATCATTCGGGTCTAAGTAATTGCTTGTATGAGTCCGAGTGCATGTTCCGCCTCAGTGGAGACTCCTGGCAAGTTCCTCAGTCAGCCCTTGAAGGTGTGCGGCCGAGACGGGTGAGTGGGGGGGGGGACGGGTGTGTGTGTGGGGGGACGGGTGTGTGGGGGGGACGGGTATGTTGGGGGGGGGACGGGGGTTAGGGGGGGGACGGGGGTTAGGGGGGGACGGGTGTGTGGGGGGACGGGTGTGTGTGTGTGGGGACGGGTGTGTGGGGGGGACGTATTATAGACTCGTGGGTTGGTTGGTGTTGTCGTCGTCGATCCTTCTCTATGGACAACCCAACCCACAACTCGGCAGAGTGCTTATACTAGGAGATCACCCTTGGCGCTTCTGGCTCTTGGAGAGGGGCTCAACGTCACACGTTCAGGGGATGCGGCTCCAACACTTAGCCTCGTTGTCACGTGCACACACCCACTTGAGCCGCTGTGACTCCCCACTCTCTCCTTATGAGATATGATCTCAATCCCCTATGACTTACTAGTATTACCTCTTACCCTGTCCACAGCAGTGGTTCTTGGTTCTTTCTCTCTCCTTCTTTACTACCTCCTGGGAAGCCTCACTAGGACAAGGGCAAACACCAGCAAATTGTGACACATTTACTGGACAAAGCACATACACGATACATACACACATATAATAATAATGAATCCTATACTCGATAATCGCAATCAGGTTGCACTCCAACACCATCAGAACTCTATTATCAGCTTATCCAGTGGTATCCTATCTCCTGGTTCACCACCTGATACTATTAACCTCCTCAAGTTGGTCAAGCCTACATACACTGTTGCACTATCAGCAAGATAATGTATATATAGAATACCAGCATTTGAATGCAATAACATATATCAGTATAAATGTTCATTGATACACAACAATGATTAATCGATCACTGTCAGTCCTCGAGCACATACATCTGTAGGTAATCAAGCCTACGACTGCAACTCTAAGCTTCAGACTAAATCACTCCTTGACATAAGAATGCAAACAGTCACTCACCTCTCACTGCGTCTTGCACGCTAATGACAACCAAACACTATCAACTCCCTATAAGTAATCCACCAGAACTTCCCCTTCCACCTCTGGGAGTTCACAACCCTAATATCCTTAGGTTCTTCCGGGCTTCACTACCAGGATCCTCTGCAGCTCCTCCAGGCTGCTATCATGAAGTTTCCTTGAGTAACTACGGTGCTTCACCCTTCTGCTAGGTTCCTCCACAGCTCTCTTGGCTGCTACACCATGAAGTTTCCCCGAGCAACTGTGGTGCTTCTCCACCTCTACAGAAGCACGTGACACTCCTCTTCACTGCTGCTTCTCCTCACAGCTCGAGGTCCTCTGCTCCACTACCTTGGAGTCTCATCAGCTACTTCATCTGCTGGCTTCGAAGTTCTCAGCAACTTCTTCCCCAAAGACAAACCTGCAACCCATCGACACTCCAATAAAATGTTCCCCATTAACACATAAACAAAAATAACCACACAATATGCTTGCCTCAAACCTCTATCTGTTCTCTACATACAGTGAGAGTGGACTCCCCCGTTTTGGGCGGGTCCATACTCCACCTCGCCTGGCGGCGGTCCTCACTCGCTGGGAGGGTCTTCCTCCATCCGGAGCCGGGCTCCCTCAGTCGTCCGTCAGAGCTCAGAGGGGATGGACGTCGCTCCGTGCTCCTCCCTCTTCACTCTCCTATTTCAGGCCTTCTGCCTTATTAAAACATGTCTAACCTATAAATAAACATTGCTACTGTCGCTGGGCACACGACCGACTACAAGCAATCACTATGAACTGGCGTTTATCGTGCTTACCACAGATTAATTGGTCGAGGGCGCTTTCCCTCTGACGGCGTCTGGTCAGGGCGCTCCACACAGCCCACAATAATGCTTCTGGGCGACTTAATATCTGCTCGTCGACCAGGACTTGAGACCACAACGTTCCCAGCTCGATTCCACAGCTGGTACGTCCGCACACTTCTCTTCTCTTCGAGATATATCACTAGGGGTTCCCTTCTGGCGGGAGCTCAAACGGAGCGCGGCTTCCCCCTGCGATGTCTGGCACTCAAGTGAGGTCAAGGTCCTCCGG